AAAAGTGTATTACTTGGTGCAAACAACTCCTTGGGGAAACGATAATACTCGTACCAATAGTAACAAAACGGGTAGGCCTCCAAGTTCAACTCCAACATCTCGACTTGTGATCTGGAGAAGGCGAATTCGAGCCAACGAGTGATTGAATCACCGAAAGATTTGTCTAGAGAAAAACACTTCCAAAGGTTTTTCCAACAGAGTGAAAGAATACTTTTTCGACCGGCTTCCTTGAGCGATATGAGAGAGATAATATCGACAAGAATGCCGTCTGGTAACCGACTTATCCGATCTTCATCACCGCCCACAAAACTTCCCTTACCACACTGTCGGTCAAACAACATAAATACTACATCAGAATTTTTGAATCATCATGTCCACAGAATTTGATATCTTGCTGTCGCAAATTGAACCGGAGAAAGAAAAACGGTACTAGATATTAAAATCATATAAATACCATCAAAATTAGGTGTTTCGTATACCATCAAAATTAGGGTTTTTCAAATACCATCACAATTAGGGATTTTATTCGAGGGGCATATACATACATGATTGGTTAACACACACACACACGCACGCGCGCGCGCACACACACACACGCACGCGCGCGCGCGCACACACACACGCACGTGCGCGCGCGCACACACACACACACACACACATACATACATATATATATATATATATATATATATATATATATATATATATATATATATATATATATATATATATATATATATATATATATATATATATATATATATATATATATATATATATATATATATATATTCATAAAAAATAAAAAGAAAAGAGATAGAAGATTCTTCGTCGTTGAAAGCCGACCTTATTCATTTGGGTTTGAGCTTCGGTGTCGATTTTGAGTCGCTTCCCATCATCCATAGAGCTTGAATCTCCGGACATGGCTCTTTGCAGTTGCCGGACAGAAAACGGAGAAACCTAGAAATGAATTGATGTTTTATAGACGGAGAATCTTGCATCACTTGCTTTGAGGTTTTTCTGTAACGACGCGTGTCAACTGAAAAATCCATTTGTAAAAGAAGTATCTGTATAATTTCATGCCAAACTCATCTTATTATTATTTTAACATTTTTGATTGTATTCCTTATGTTTTATTATAAATAAATTAATTTTCTGTAACCATGCATAATACCAAAATCTTTCCTAAAATAAATAGTTTGTTTAATATTCATGACAATCAATAATTTTCCATACAATTGGTCAAGAAATAGTAGATTTCTATGTAGGGTTGAACATGGATTGGATTGGTACGATTATCGACTATCAAATCGATTCAACGCAACCACTGCATATCTAACATAAATCGGAGAAAATAATAATTCAAATAGTCAAAACCAGTTGAATGGATTCTGGAAATGGAAATTAGGGTTTTACAAGACCTGAATCGAAAACAGCTAAGCAAGGTAAAAATGGAAATTAAATTGAATAGCTTTAGCTAACACGATAATCGGATAAAGCATACTACAAGAAAACAGGGCTTCACTGACAGAAAATTAGCGACAGAACCGACTGTCACTATTTACTGACACATTGCCGACAGATTACTGACGAACTTATTAATATCTGTGACATATTTAAAGTTCGTTGGTAATCTGTTGTTGATCTTGCGACGACACCATATTTGGTTGCTATTCCGTCGCCGATCTTACGACATAATCAAGTTTGGTTGGTACATTGTCGCTAATGTGACGAGGGATTTAAAATTCGTCGCAAAGTCGTCGATAATTTTTTCGTGTAACTGTATTTTGTCAGTAATCCGTCGCTAATGTTGCGACCGTATTTTTTCCATCGCTGATTTGTGGTCAACCGACGAAAAATGAAAAACAATGGTCCCAAATGGTTGAGTGTTGATGATTGGAACAAACTTGTTGAGGATATTTTCGCAACTGATGCATGGAGAAAAAAAAGTGATGCTGCTAAAAACAACAGGCTGACTGAGAAAGATGGTTCCATAACAAAACATACTGGTGGTTCAATTCCGTTTAGAGAGCATGAAAAAATAATGGTAACTTTTAAGTTTTTATTGTTTACTGTATGATGAATTATTTGATTTATTAAGGAAATATTAGATTATTTGACCCAATGAACTTACTTGTGCGCAGAAAAGAGCACTTGGTGTCGATAATGTTTCTGAAATGGATGTTTTTGATAGTACGCACAAGAGACAAAAAGGACAAGGCGATTTTGTTGATAGTAAGTCCAAGAGAGTTCGTGTAAGTGAATATATGTAATTTTTTTTTATTTAAACTATTCGGGCTATATGGAGTTCTTTCCAATTGATTATATTTATTTTACTTGACTATGCAGGATGTATATGAAGATGTTCGATCCCAAAAACATGAAAATGGTGCCCCTATTGATCAGCTTGAATTTGATCCTCCATCTTGGGTGGATGCAATTGGTGGACCGTCTAAGGGTTATGTGTATGGATTCGGATACCCAGGGCCGGTCCGGCGTATTTGGGGGCCCGGGGCGAGAATATATTTTGTGCCCTTAACAATATGGGGTTTCGGGCAACGCCTCGACTTTTTTTTTTCCATATTTATAGATAAAATAATATAGATAAATATGTATTAATTTAAATGTGAGTATCAATAAAATTTTGAAGTTATTTATGTATATCTAAGTATTTTTGTAAAAAAGCAAATGTTAGAAATGTATGAGAAAATTTGTGTTTGAAAAAATAAATGTTTATATAAATGTATATCTATATATATATAAATAGGTATATATATATCTATAGAAATATATATATATATATATCTATAGATATATATATATATATATATATATATATATATATATATATATATAGATAGATATAAAATACTAAAAATGGGCCCCTAATAAAACTGGGCCCTGGGCGTGGGCCCTGCTCGCCCCACCCCAGGGCCGGCCCTGCGGATACCATAAGCCAGCTAATGAAGTAATGCCGAATATTTCACATTCTTTTCTAGGTAAACATGTTGCTCCTACCACATCTCATTATATTAAACAATTGGAGAGTAGGTTGAATAGATATGAGAAGAAAGTAGAGAAGCTTATTGATATTGTAAAGAAGTTGTCACAAAACAGTGGTGTGGAGGATTTGGCAACATCTGATTCTGAGTCGATTGATGGCTCGTTTAGAGATAATCATTCAGAATATGTTTGTTTGGTATTATGTTAGTTCTTTTTATTTATTTTTATCTTGATATTTAAAACAAATACATTTTTTTTCTATCTAGCTACTATTTCTATTGGATTAGGTTGATTTTGAGTTTCTTTAAACATTCGTTGGACGTTATTATTTCATAATTATGGTATTAATGATTTTTTGATATTTTTTGCGGTAATTAATTTTTCTTGATGTACAAGATGTGGTATATTGATTACTGATCTTTATTGGCATACGTTGTATATTGATTTTTATTGATTGTTTGTTGCCATATTGCTTATTGATCATCAACAACATAATCCGTCAGTGAATTATTTGGACAAAATCCACCGACGAAATATCCGTTAGTAAATCACCGACTGAAATTTATTGGAATATTGGTGACTGATCGGCAGCGATAAAATCCGTCACTACATTTTGGTGAATCACCGACGGCATTGTTGTCGGTATATTGGTGACCGATTGCTGACAGAATAATCAATCGGTACATTATCATAACGACGGATGCCGCTGACGGACTTTCCGTTGGTGAATTACTGACTGAATATATATTCGGTCGGTACAAATACCAACACCTATACCGACAGAATTATCCGTCGATAAATTGAATTTTACTGACGGAAAATTCAACCTTTTGATGATTATTTTGGCGAGGAAAAGTTACGAATCTACTGACTGAATTTCCGTTGCTACGTCACCGTCGGAAAAAAATATTCGTCGGTACGGTTTAGCGTTGGGGGTTTTACCAACCGATTAATGGCGTCGATAAATCCGTCAGTGATCTCATTTAGCGACAGATTTTGATAGATTACCGATAAAAACTTCAGTCGGTGAAGCATCAACTAGCTACAAGAATCGCTGGCTCAGCTGGAACATGCATTGATGCTAAGGTTTTTGACGAGTAATTAGCGGTGTTGTTATCCAAGCTCTGAAATATCCAACAATGGTTAGTGTATGTATGTGTGTATTTCATAATCAATTTTAGAAGTGCATAATTTTCAGATTTGAGTTCCATATTTTCATGGTTTTGGTAAAACAACAAATTACAATTTCAGATTATTGTTGTGACATTGATTAGTTTGTGACATTGATTAGTTTAGCTGCATTTCGCGAACTATGTGTCTTCAAGTACATTAATATAAGATAAACACATATTGTTAAAATATAAGATGAGGTAAATAGATGGTATAATAGTATAAATAAGAATTTTAAATGTAATAAAAATATATAAATCAAAATCATTACTATATATATATATATATATATATATATATATATATATATATATATATATATATATATATATATATATATATATATATATAAACTATGTTATCCTTAAAATGCACAGATAAAATACTAATTTGACGTTTGACACACGCAGTTAATTTTGACGGAAATACTAACGAAAACAACTCCTATTAACCACAAGGGGGTTATGTGCTGATATTACGAGCACAATTGGTCATCTGGTAAAGCTTTTAACCACAGGGGGTCAAATGCTATTTACCCTTATATTTATTTAAGACAAATGTATGATATATTATCTGTTTTTTAGGAATATATGTTAGAGGGCTATTGTTGTTGTGAAACCCTGCGTTGGTAGCAGATGATTCAGACGAGTTTGGAGAGTGTGAGTATGGATTTGGTGGAGTGAAGGGTATAATTGAAAATATGTAAAATCCTAGGGTGGGTTGAGAAATTAAGTTGAATCCAAATATTTATATCTAAGCTTCAATTAAAATAAACAAATAAATTTGTTTCAAGAATGTAAATGTAGTGTCGGTCTCAATCGAAAAAGTTAAAGAATAACCAATTGAACGCCGTGAGGCAATTGCGGTTCAATATGTTGCTTTGCCACGTCGTCTCTCGCATTTTTATCCGATTCCAAGCGACGACTTATTCGGTTTAAAAAATATACAACAGACGGATCGACTATTATTTTCTCAAGCACTGTGCAGTTCTTCAAAACGTACCGAACTAATGCATTGTTACTGGAGCAAAACTCATATCCACAAAATCTGAACACTTTAAGATGCTCGTGCCGAAACCTTGTATTAATAGCTGCACCTTCATAGTCCACTTGTCTATGCCTTTTATTCTGCACACATAGACGAAAATCATACAAGTAGCGTATTTATGTTTGCTTTTTATTACATGTTGATACAGACGAAAACCGAAAAAAAGAAGAAACTTTGAGAGAGAAACTTATTTTAACCTACCTTTAAAACAAATTCCTGCAAGTAAGGAGACGCCCTTATCAGAGAAGCGAGCCTAACGAGACTTTGATCGTCAGATGAATAACATTCGATGGCCAACTTCTTCAGTTTAGGCATTTCAGGGAAATAACTGTAGAGCTCGATCGTTTCTTCTCTGTCGTGAATCCTCGACGGCACCAAATTAAGAGTCTCCAATTGAGAAATGCAGCTAGACAATACAGAAAGTAAATGTTTCACAGAAATACTGTCGTAGTCGCAACTGACAGTTGCATCAACCAGCATCGGGACATTCTCGAGCGAAACTCCCTTTAGACTCGTAACACTAAGTGAGGCGAGATTCGGAGCGTAAACTTTAAGTGATTCCAAGCCCGTGCATTTGACTATCTCCAAGTGTTTCAACACGAGTGATGGACCACAAACTTCGATCTTCGATACTGTCCATGTGGTATGGACAATCAATTGTTCGAGTAAAGGGCAGTTACGTAAAAATAACTCGATGTCTCCACCTCGCAAATTAACTTTTTTAAGCGACAATTCTTTGAGGGACTTAAATCCGAGAACCATATTGCTTCTCGGGGCTAATAACTCGTAGGGGAAACAAAAATCTTTAAAGTAAACATCAAAGTCAAACTCCCACCTCCAAACATGTCTGGAAAACGCGAATTCAAGCCACCGAGTAATGGAATTACCATCTAAAGGAAAACGGATCTTAAGTTTTTTCAAGGTGGGGGATTTGTGTGATCGGATAACGGAGTTCACCCACTTCACGTACTTGTGTCCCTCGCAAGCTGACACGTCGAAATCAAGATAAGGTACATGTTTCCATAAGTTTATCCAACGGGACGAAAGAACACTCGTTCGAGCTGCTTCTTTGAGCGATAGCAAAGACAGTATATCGACAAGGATGTCGTCGGGCAACTGACTTATCCGATCATCATTATCGACCACAGAACTTCTCTCACCACACTGTAAGTCAATCAAGATTGTACTTACTACATTAGAACTACTTAACAATGCAAAGCTATAACTTATCAGTACAGTATCAGATTAAAAAAAAAAAAAAAATTAGGGTTTTAGTTTAGCAACAAAATTAGGGTTAAAGCAACAATCTTGAATTGAAATCTTACGCTGTTCGTTTGGGGTTGAAGATTGGTATCAGTATTGATTTGCGTCCCACCCATGAAGCTTGAATCTTTGTACAGAGAACCTCGCAATTGCCAAACAATAGAAAAAATCTTATGGAATGAATTAAATTTAAAAAAAAAAAATCTCTTAAATAAAATATACGAATTGATTGATTTAAAAGAAGTTGTAAAAAAAAAAAAAGAAAGAAAAAAGACGACAAATTAGGTCAAATTCTACACGAAAGACTATAGGCCCAATCCCTAATAGTTGGGTAACTGAGTTATCCAATCATAATAAGGGTTATATTTATAGGAATTTACGTTTATATCCTCAGAAAAAACTCACATGCCAGGCACGTGCAAACGATTCCAACGAGAAATGAACTGAAATTAATCACAGGCACCGTGCAACAATTTAATGAGTTCGGGAAAACAATTGTAAATTTCTTTTGTCCAGGGGTAACGTGCAAAACTTAAAACTTAAAACGTAACGTGCAAAACTTTAAAGGGGTAACGTAAAATATTGTTCCAAAATCAAAGCAATTTGGATCGGAGTTGATGGTATTCGAGACCCGGGGCACAATCAAAATAACGTAAAGTGAATTTAATGAAATCGGTAAAGGATATCGACTATTCTGGTCTATTTCGATGTCCGCATCGACATCCTCGACGAGTTAAGAGCTGATTCCTTGGGAGGGAAAGACAGTTAACGGATAGCTTCAGAACATTCTCGAGCAAAACTCCCTTTAAACTCATAACCGTAAGCGAAGTAAGGCTCGGCAGCGAAACTTTAAGTGATTTCCAAACCCGAGAAACAGACTATCTCACTACCACAATTTGGGGTTTATACGACCCTTTGTTTACCCGACAGTTTTAGAACCGTCGTATAAACACGTATTTATGACGCTTTTCAAAATATTGTTGGCGCTATAAAACCGTCGTATAAAGGTATATTGTCGACGTTTTTTTAAGCACTCTCATCTAACGTTTTACCGTCATATAAAACTTAATAAAATATTGTATTTGCACTTCAATTTTGTAGACCAAAGGCTTCTTCTTTTTGTATTGCTGCTTTCCAAATTTTATAAACGTGAAAGTCAATCACGCTTTCAAAGACGTACAAAAAATCTTAATTTAATTCACCACTGAACTATTTTTTATTACAAATTAAACTCAATTTAAATCTCCACGTTAGGGTTTTTCTAAAGTAATAATAACAATGAACTATTTTTTATTTCAATTTAAACCCATCGAGACACTATTCCTCCAGAGCCACGGCAAGTGCCGACGCCACCGCCACCGCCACCGCCACCACCACCACCACCACCACCACCACCGTCTCAGCGTGACAATACCGTGGTTTTGCCGCGATTGATGTTGCCACATCCCGCTACCACGGCCGCAAATTTGCAGCAACTGGATCTGTGGCCCTCAATTAGATATTGCCACCGCCACCGTCACCGATTCTTACATCGTTACCGCTGCTGAAATCATCATCTCCGTTGTTGAAATCGTCATCTCCCGCTGCTATTTAACTTTGGTTAGTCTGTTTCTCCAGATTTTGGAAAAAAATTGAGGTGGTATTGAATTATTAATTGAATGCTGAAATTAGGTTTGACAAATTGATAAGGTAAAATAGCGCATATGAAATGGTTATTTTGTTCATATATTTTTTTTTTAATTTATCAAAATATTATTGTGCTCATATTTTTCCTTAATAATTTGTTGTCCAGAACATTATTGTGCTCATAATAACATTTTTTACAGAAGGGAAGGGATTTGTGTGAGTTTACTTCTATTTATCCAACATTATTCTATTATTCGATTCTCGAATTTAATGAGGTAGAAATGAGAATATTTGATTAATAATTTCTTCCTATTTTCAATGTAAGCATCAACTAGCTACAAGAATCGCTGGCTCAGCTGGAACATGCATTGATGCTAAGGTTTTTGACGAGTAATTAGCGGTGCTGTTATCCAAGCTCTGAAATATCCAACAATGGTTAGTGTATGTATGTGTGTCTATGTATGCGTGTATTTCATAATCAATTTTAGAAGTGCATAATTTTCAGATTTGAGTTCCATATTTTCATGGTTTTGGTAAAACAACAAATTACAATTTCAGATTATTGTTGTGACATTGATTAGTTTGTGACATTGATTAGTTTAGCTGCATTTCGCGAACTATGTGTCTTCAAGTACATTAACATAAGATAAACACATATTGTTAAAATATAAGATGAGGTAAATAGATGGTATAATAGTATAAATAAGAATTTTAAATGTAATAAAAATATATAAATCAAAATCATTACTATATATATATATATATATATATATATATATATATATATATATATATATATATATATATATATATATATATATATATATATATATATATATATATATAAACTATGTTATCCTTAAAATGCACAGATAAAATACTAATTTGACGTTTGACACACGCAGTTAATTTTGACGGAAATACTAACGAAAACAACTCCTATTAACCACAAGGGGGTTATGTGCTGATATTACGAGCACAATTGGTCATCTGGTAAAGCTTTTAACCACAGGGGGTCAAATGCTATTTACCCTTATATTTATTTAAGACAAATGTATGATATATTATCTGTTTTTTAGGAATATATGTTAGAGGGCTATTGTTGTTGTGAAACCCTGCGTTGGGAGCAGATGATTCAGACGAGTTTGGAGAGTGTGAGTATGGATTTGGTGGAGTGAAGGGTATAATTGAAAATATGTAAAATCCTAGGGTGGGTTGAGAAATTAAGTTGAATCCAAATATTTATATCTAAGCTTCAATTAAAATAAACAAATAAATTTGTTTCAAGAATGTAAATGTAGTGTCGGTCTCAATCGAAAAAGTTAAAGAATAACCAATTGAACGCCGTGAGGCAATTGCGGTTCAATATGTTGCTTTGCCACGTCGTCTCTCGCATTTTTATCCGATTCCAAGCGACGACTTATTCGGTTTAAAAAATATACAACAGACGGATCGACTATTATTTTCTCAAGCACTGTGCAGTTCTTCAAAACGTACCGAACTAATGCATTGTTACTGGAGCAAAACTCATATCCACAAAATCTGAACACTTTAAGATGCTCGTGCCGAAACCTTGTATTAATAGCTGCAGCATCATAGTCCACTTGTCTATGCCTTTTATTCTGCACACATAGACGAAAATCATACAAGTAGCGTATTTATGTTTGCTTTTTATTACATGTTGATACAGACGAAAACCGAAAAAAAGAAGAAACTTTGAGAGAGAAACTTATTTTAACCTACCTTTAAAACAAATTCCTGCAAGAAAGGAGACGCCCTTATCAGAGAAGCGAGCCTAACGAGACTTTGATCGTCAGATGAATAACATTCGATGGCCAACTTCTTCAGTTTAGGCATTTCAGGGAAATAACTGTAGAGCTCGATCGTTTCTTCTATGTCGTGAATCCTCGACGGCACCAAATTAAGAGTCTCCAATTGAGAAATGCAGCTAGACAATACAGAAAGTAAATGTTTCACAGAAATACTGTCGTAGTCGCAACTGACAGTTGCATCAACCAGCATCGGGACATTCTCGAGCGAAACTCCCTTTAGACTCGTAACACTAAGTGAGGCGAGATTCGGAGCGTAAACTTTAAGTGATTCCAAGCCCGTGCATTTGACTATCTCCAAGTGTTTCAACACGAGTGATGGACCACAAACTTCGATCTTCGATACTGTCCATGTGGTATGGACAATCAATTGTTCGAGTAAAGGGCAGTTACGTAAAAATAACTCGATGTCTCCACCTCGCAAATTAACTTTTTTAAGCGACAATTCTTTGAGGGACTTAAATCCGAGAACCATATTGCTTCTCGGGGCTAATAACTCGTAGGGGAAACAAAAATCTTTAAAGTAAACATCAAAGTCAAACTCCAACCTCCAAACATGTCTGGAAAACGCGAATTCAAGCCACCGAGTAATGGAATTACCATCTAAAGGAAAACGGATCCTTAGTTTTTTCAAGGTGGGGGATTTGTGTGATCGGATAACGGAGTTCACCCACTTCACGTACTTGTGTCCCTCGCATGCTGACACGTCGAAATCAAGATAAGGTACATGTTTCCATAAGTTTATCCAACGGGACGAAAGAACACTCGTTCGAGCTGCTTCTTTGAGCGATAGCAAAGACAGTATATCGACAAGAATGTCGTCCGGCAACTGACTTATCCGATCATCATTATCGACCACAAAACTTCTCTCACCACACTGTAAGTCAAACAAGATTGTACTTACTACATTAGAACTACTTAACAATGCAATAAGAAGAAAGTTTTGCATTAAATCAATCTTCAATCACAAATATAACTTATCAGTACAGTATCAGATTAAAAAAAAAAATAGGGTTTTAGTTTAGCAACAAAATTAGGGTTAAAGCAACAATCTTGAATTGAAATCTTACGCTGTTCGTTTGGGGTTGAAGATTGGTATCAGTATTGATTTGCTTCCCACCCATGAAGCTTGAATCTTTGTATAAAAAAAAATCTCTTAAATAAAATATACGAATTGATTGATTTAAAAGAAGTTGTAAAAAAAAAAAAAGAAAAGAAAAAAGACGACAAATTAGGTCAAATTCTACACGAAAGACAATAGGCCCAATCCCTAATAGTTGGGTAACTGAGTTATCCAATCATAATAAGGGTTATATTTGTAGGAATTGACGTTTATATCCTCAGAAAAAACTCACATGCCAGGCACGTGCAAACAATTCCAACGAGAAATGAACTGAAATTAATCACAAGGCACCGTGCAACAATTTAATGAGTTCGGGAAAACAATTGTAAATTTCTTTTGTCCAAAACTTAAGAAAAAAATGAAGAATAAGAACGAAAAAATCCCCCCCCAAAAAAAAATTCAAAATGTAATAGGCGAATTTTAGAATTTCTATTTTTTCGGTCATCTATAATGTTACGTACATAATAGTATTCGGAATTCAGCCCGCATGGGTGTAGCTCAACTGGTTCCGGAGGTGGTAAGTTGGTGCAAGGTCCTAGGATCAAATCCTGACAGCCGCAGTGTGAGAATTTCAACTCCAATGAGGGTTGGTTCCTTGTGGGCATCAGGTCTGGGTCCGCTCGGGCTAAGGGATGGGAGCCCTGGGGGCGAGGAATTTCGCCTTTTGGTGCTAGTATTCGGAATTCAAAATCTAATATTTATTCCAATTATGTTCCAAAAAATTGGAAATATTGTTCCAAAATCAAACCAATTTGGATCGGAGTTGATGGTATTCGAGACCGGGGGCACAATCAAAATAACGTAAAGTGAATTTAATGAAATCGGTAAAGGATATCGACTATTCTGGTCTATTTTGATGTCCGCATCGACATCCTCGACGAGTTAAGAGCTGATTCCTTGGGAGGGAAAGACAGTTAACGGATAGCATCAGAACATTCTCGAGCAAAACTCCCTTTAAACTCATAACCGTAAGCGAAGTAAGGCTCGGCAACTCCCTTTAAGTGATTCCAAACCTGAGAAACAGACTATCTCCAAGTGTTTCAACACGAGTGACGAACCACAAACTTCGAGCTTTGTTATTTTTCCAGGTGAACGGACAATCAGCTTTTCGAGCAGAGGGCAGTTCGTAAAAAGAACTCGATAGCTCCACCGCTGACATCAACATTCTTGAATGACAATTCTTTGACCGACTTAAAGTCGAAAAGCTTATTACTGCCCGGGGCAAATAACTCCTCGGGGAAACGATAACAATCGCTCCGGTATTTGGGAATAGGAAAGTCCAGCTCCAAACTCTGAACTTGTCTGGAAATGGCGAATTCAAGCCGCCGATTGATCGAACACCTGTCTGACGTGTCTAAACTATAACTGATTCTGAACCGTTTTACGGTGGGAGATTTGTGCGACTGGATAACAGAGTTCACCCATTTCATGTACTTGCGTTTCTCGCTCTTGAGCAACTTGTATTGCCTCTCAACCTCTTCCAATGATTTTTTTCTTTCCCGTACCGGACTCATTCCATATCACTCATAATGCACATTGACCGTCGAAATCGAGAGAATGGGTATGTTTCCACAAGTTCATCCAACGGGACGAAAGAACACTAGTGCGACCAAAGACAAAATATCAACGAGAATTTCGTCGGGGAACTGACTTATCCGCGGTCGTCGTTATCGACCACAAAGCTTCTCTTACCACACTGTCAGTCAAACAAAGACGATGAAATACTAAATTAGGATTTAGAACTACTGCAGAATCCAATAAGAGGGAAAGTTGCACATAATTCGAATTCGATAATCATATCAAAAAATTAAATTAGGGATTTCAACAAAAATGGGATTTTATGCCAGAGAGATACATAGAGCCAGAAACTAGAGAGAGAAGAAAAAAATTGCCACAATCTTATTGTATCCTGTGTCCATTTCGTCATTTCCGTGTCCGTGCTACATAGTTTGTATAAGCACGGAGGATGTTGGAATTTTGTCACTGGATTATCCATCAAATTATATTTGATTTTACCCAAAATAACATGCTTTTAATTTAACTGTTTTTCCAAGTTTGTGAATGTAATAAATTATGCAACTAATTATAGTTCAATCCAGTTCATTAGTAAATGTTTTTCGTTTTAACTAATAATATAATGTCATTAGAATTAAGTTTCATTAAGTTATAATTATAATCCATCAAGACAAACAGAGAACTTTTACCAATTAAAATCGACCCTTTTTCTCTCAGCTAATAATCTTGATAACTTGGATTACTCAGTCGGGCGTCGACTTTTCCGAAACCGCAGAAAGAAAGAAAGAAAGAGCCAACAAAATTACGTTGTTTGCCCCTGTTGTCCCCATAGTCGTTACAGTTGAAAGTTACAGAGCTCATTCGTTTCTCGTCTACTGTAAAACGTTTGTTTCAACACGAGTGACGAACCACAAACTTCGAGCTTCAATATTTTTACCGGAGAATGGACAGTCAGCTTTTCGAGCAGAGGGCAGTTACGTAAAAATGACTCGATGGATCCACTACTCACACTAACATTTCTAAAGAACAAATCGTTCAAAAAATAGTGCAAAGATTGTAAATCGATTTTTTTTTTTGGAAATTGGAACGAAAAAACTTATTTCACAATTATAAATTTTCAAATCGAAATAGACGGAATTTGGAATTTCTATTTTGTTTAGTCAGTTGTATTATAAAATACATAATAATATTGATATTTCAATTCTAAGTTTTGGAAAATAAAAATAGGATTTTCGTTGACTATGGAGGCTGGAGCTTTCAAGAATCCGACCGAAAAACATTTTTCCAAAATAAAATTTATTTGGATTGCAATCAATGGTTTGAAAATTCCGTTCGAATTTCCACCCCCATATATAGCCCATCTTTTCGGGGTGTAAATCCAATATTCAAGATCCGGCGCGACATTTAGCTCTGTACTTGGATAAATTATTATTTTCTCAAGCTGTTTAAGTTTATAAACTCATAAAAATAAATAAACAAAAAAAAAAAAACAAAAAAAAAAAAACAAGAAAAAAAAAACAAAAAGATAATGTAAAGTTAAAGAATAATCAATTCAACGTGGTGAGGCAAATGTGGTTCAAGATGTTGCTTCGCGTTCTTACGCGCAGCTTCCTTCACACTTAGTTTGTATCTATCAAATCTGTGACGGCAATATTCATAAGCGCAGGGATCAATTATTATTTTTTCAAGCACAACGCAGTTCTCCAATACATATTCGACTAACGCATCGTCGCTCGGGCAGCCATAGTACCCACAAAATTTGAACACTTTAAGGTGCTCGTGCCGAAACTTTATAATAGCAGCACCATCATCGTCGACTCGTGTAGGAACCATCCCACTTCCAAAGTGCTTGTTCTGCACACTCAGAGAAATAAAAAAAAAAGAAGGAATAAATCATACTAGTAGCATATTTATGTTTGCTTTCATAATATTGACAAGCACAAAAACATGAAAGATAATTTGACCTACATTTAGAACGAATTCCTGCAAGTGTGGAGATGCCCTTGTCAAAGAAGCGAGTCTCGTAAAACATTGGTCGTCAAAAGAATGATAATCGATGACCAACTTCTTCAATTTAGGCATTTCAGGAAAATTGCACAACTCGTCGTTTTCTTGTTCAGAGTGAAACAGCGGCATCACCAATTTAAGAGTCTCCAATTGAGAAAAGCAGCAAGACAGTGCGTGAATAATTTTTTTCCAATCAAGACCGTCAAGGGTACTACCGGCACATACATCAACTAGCATTGGAACATTCTCGAGCAAAACTCCCCTTAAACTCGTAACCCTAAGCGAGGTAAGTCTCGGCGCGGAAATTTTAAGTGATTCCAACCCCACGAAAGAGACTATCTCCAAGTGTTTCAACACGAGTGACGAACCACAAACTTCGAGCTTTGATACATTTTCTCCCGGGGAATCGACAATCAATTTTTCGAGCCGAGTGCAGTTATGTATAAAGAACTCGATAGCTCCACCACTCAATTGAACATTCTTAAGAGACAATTCTTTGAGGGAGTTAAAGTTCAAAATCATATTGCTCCGGGCAAGTAACTGTTCGGGGAGACAAGAACAACTGCCATAGCTACGAAAGTCTGGATCGTCAAGGTGCAACTCCAACCTCTGAACATGTCTGGAAAATGCGAACTCGAGCCACCGAGAGATCGAATTAGTGTACGATGCGCCTAGAGGAAAATTGATTTTGAATTCCTTTATTGTGGGCGATTTGTGTGATTCGACAACGCGGTTCACCATGTTGACGTACTTGGGCCCCGCACTATTCCCTAACTCGCTCCGTGACACGTCCGATTCAACGAAGTCGAGAGAGGGGGTGTATTTCCACAAGTGTAACCAACGGAACGAAAGAACACTCGTTCGAGCTGCTTCTTTCAGCGATAGGAGAGACAGTATATGGATACGAACTTCTGCCGGCAAATGACTTATCCGATCAACACCATCACCCCCAACAAAGCTTCTATTTGCAAACTGTCAGTCAAACAAGATGATAAAAATACTAACATTAGAATTCTGCAATAATCGGAAAGTTTTGCGCTAACGCATAATCGTCTCGATTCTATATTTCTCACGCTACTACGGATCCGTTTGCTGATTTTATCCAAAGGGAAAATTATCATAATCCCCCCACAAAAAAAAATTGATCTTTGTTGCAAATTTTATGTGTCGTATCAGAAAATTGAATTAGGGTTTTCTCGATTACAAACAAAAGAAGGGGATTTTACGCAAGAGAAATACATATAGCAGAAAAGTAATCGAGATCTTACGTTCCTCTTATCTGGCGGCAAATAGGAACGCTTCCCGCGCATGGCGTCTTTGTACATGATTCTCAGCAATTGCTACACAGAGAAACGGAGAAACAAGAAATAAATAAACCATGGAATGAGATTCATCAAATATAACCAACCCTAAGCTATTTGTGTAATTATTTTTAGTGTAAATTACAAACAAACCCCTGAGGTATGGTCAAATTACAAAAAAATCC